CCCCCCAAAAAAAAAAAAAAAACTTCTGTCATCAAATCTTGCAAATCCCCTCAGTCTCCAATTTTCTTCATCATTTTTTCTTCTTAATCAAACATGCACACACTTCCATCCCCATATTCTTTTTTAACAATTTCATCTATACCCACTAAGCCAAATCCTCAATTATGTAGTAAAAATCCAGTCTTTTTCACACGCACCAAGCCAAATCCTCAATTATGTAGTAAAAATCCAGTCTTTTTCACACCCACCAAGCCAAATCCTCAATTATGTATCATAAATCCAATCTTTTTCACTTCTTTGAAGTATTCAGCAAAAGGGTGTTACTCAAATTCAAGATCAACAACTAAAAAACCGAGCATTTCCTCAGTTTCTTGCCTGATTATGGACAAAGAAGCACCACTAGAAGAGGGGTTAAGTGTTGTTGAAAAAATTCAGATTTTAGCTTTGGAATTTAGGTCCTTATCAGAACCAATTGATAGAGTGAAAAGATTATTACACTATGCAAGTATTCTCCCTCCATTAAGCGAGTCAGTTAAGGTTCAAGAAAACAGAGTCATGGGTTGTACAACTCAGGTTTGGTTAGAGGTTAGGATGGATAAAAGGGGTTCAATGAGGTTTAGAGTAGATAGTGATTCAGAGATCACAAAAGGGTTTTGTTCTTGCTTGTTATGGTTGCTTGATGGTGCTGAACCAGAGGAGATTTTAAGTGTTACAGCAGAGGATTTGGCTGATATGAATGTGGGGTTACCTAAAAAGGGTCGTTCGAGGGTGAATACTTGGCATAATGTGTTGTTCAGTATGCAGAATAGGACTCAAGATTGTGTTCAGGAGAGGAATAGAGCAGCTTTGTCTTTGGAAGATTTTCATTCTTTAATTATTAGGCCTCATGGAAGTTACCTGGAATCTGAGGTTGGTTGTTAAGTAGCAATTGTTTATTCTTTTTATTGGTTTTGTTTATGTTTATTTTGTCAGTGTAGTACACAATGATTCAGGGAAAGATCCAAATGGATTCCGCTTTTAAAGAAATCAATTTTGTATCTTTAATTATTGATGGCATGAGATCATACTTTGTTTTTTTGTTGTTGTTAGAATTGTATTTTACTAAAATAGTATAGTCTGGTAAGACCACCAACCACAACTTTCCAGGAAATTGTGAAAAATAAAAAAATAAAAAAATAAAAAAGTAAAAGCACCTATTAGTACTTTAATCCATTATTCAAGAGAAAGCAGATATTAATGCTAAGAAGTCACTAGTTTCATGGTTTGGGTCTGAACAGTTGACATGAAGTCAGGAGCGGATTCCAAATTTAAACTTAATTAGTTCACCTTTAAGTTTTTTTAGCACCGAATACATTTCTCTTTTGAAATTATAGGTTTAAAATTTATATTTGTTGAAATTTTAGTTATTTTGTATATACATATCTATGTCCAATGTTGAAAATACTGGGCACAGTGAAACTCATTGAAATAGATTGCATTGGCTTCTGCACATGAAGTAGATTGCTCAAACATCTACATTTTGTACAAGTAAAGGCAGGGTCCATGCTGAAGCTTTCCAGTTTTTCAATTGGCACTTCTTACGTTGTTGGAAATAGAGCTACTCTGGATTTGGGACATTCTACAAAGATAGGAAACCATCTTATGAACTGCAGAATAGAATGTTTTTCAGTTCCAAATGTCTAGTTCATTGGGACTCTAGTTGTCTTTGGGCAGTATTTTTTTTATAGCATATGTATCAACCACTTATTCTGGTTTTATTAAAGCTTATCAGTGTAATGACCCAACATGTCATTTTGACTTTCAGAATCCCGTTTTCTCATTTACTGCTCAATTTATACTTTATAATTATTATGTGACTGACCGGGGTGGTTAGTTCGGGTCCGGTGAGGTTTTTAGAATGGATTGGAACACTTAGTTTCAAAGTTTAAAACTTAAGTTGAAAGGTTAGTCGGATATCGACCTATGTGTAAATGACCCCAGAATAGAATTTTGATGATTCCAACAGCTCCGTATGGTGATTTTGGCCTTAGGAGCGTGTTCAAAATTTTATTTGGAAGTCCGTAGTTAAATTAGGCTTGAAATGGCTAAAATAGGAATTTAAGTTTGGAAGTTTGACCGGGGAGTTGACTTTTTGATATCGGGGTCGGAATCCAGTTCCAAAAATTTTCATAGCTCTGTTATGTCATTTATGACTTGTGTGCAAAATTTGAGGTCAATCGCACTTGATTTGATAGGCTTCTGCATCAAATGTAGAAGTTGAAAATTTTAAGTTTCATTAAGCTTGAATTGGAGTATGATTCGTGGTTTTAGCATTGTTTGATGTGATTTGAGGTTTCGACTAAGTTCGTATGATGTTTTAGGACTTGTTGGTATTTTTGGTTGAGGTCCCGAGGGACTCGGGTGCGTTTCGGACGGCTAACGGATCATTTTTGGACTTTGGGAGATAGCTGATAGCTGCTGGTATTTTTCTTCTGGTTTCCTTATACGTGATCGCATAGATTCATCCGCGATCGCGTAAGCTAATTTGGGGCAGATGCGACTTTGTTCTACGCGATCGCATGAAATGGTTTGCGATCGCGTAGGCTTGTTTGGGGCAGTGATGATTTTTGTTCTTCGCGATCGCGTGAAGAGGGCTGCGATCGCGTAGCCGTGGGAGTTTGTTATTCGCGAATGCGTGAAGAAGGTCGCGTTCGCGTAGAGTAAGTGGAGCAGAAGTGGAGGTCACGTGTTTGTGCTTCGCGATCGCGTGGATAAGTTCACGATCGCGTAGGCCTGTAAGTTTGAGCTTCGCGATCGCGTGGACAAGTCCGCGATCGTGTAGGGTTAATTTGGGCAGTGGAAAAATTGTGCTTCGCGATCGCGTGAGAAGGTTCGCGATTGCGTAGAGCAAATGACTGGGCAGAGAGTTTAAGTTCTGATTTTTCATTTTTACCGATTTGGAGCTCGGATTGAGACGGTTTTTGGGAGATTTTCAGAGAAAACAACGGAGTGAGTGTTCTTAACTAAATATTGGTTAAATTACTCGAATCCATCACTGTTTTTATCATTTAATTGGTGAATTAAGTTGGAAAAGTTTGAAAACCCTCTTGGATAAATTTGAGGATTTGAGGGTCGAATTGTTATCGGAATTTAGTAATTTTGATATGGGTAGATTCGTGGTTGAATGAGCGTTCATATTTCGTAGAGACGTGGGCCCCGTGGATAATTTTTGAATTAATTTCGGATTTTTATTGAAAAATGTAGTATTTTCTTATGAAATTGATTCCTATAATTTTTGGTGACTGTATCGAATTATTTTGACTAGATTCGAGCCATTCAGAGTTTGATAATCGAGGAAAAGGCCTACTAGTGGATTAAATTGGAGCAAGTCGAGGTAAGTCTCTTGTTTAACCTTGTAAGGGGAAATTTACTCCATAGGTGATTTAAATTAATAATTGTTGCTAATTGTGGGGGCGACATACGCACGAGGTGACGAGAATCCGTACGTAGCTACTATTTATGCTAAAGTCCGGGTAGTTTAGGACTCAAATCGTGAATTACGTGTGTTAATTGTATCCTTTATTTAATTAAAGTATTTGAACCATACTGTGAATTGTTAGGGAAAATAGTAAAAGATTGAAATCTCATATACTTGAATTTTTGTATAAATTAATTAATTGTTAAAAGAAATTGTACACCCTCTTGTATTAATCTCATAATATATATATTCTCATTCTGGAGGTACATACGAAAACATCCTCCTTTCTTGTAGAGCGGGCCGAACGCCTCGGCAGTATAGATGCATCTATGGATCGCACCGCACGTCCCTCGGTAGTGTACACGACACTCTGGATCGGGTCGTACGACCTCGGCAGAAATCGTGCCTAATAATAATAATTACATGATACCTTGATATTTTAATTGCAGCTTGTGAAGTTAAATAAATTGGGAATTGTCGTATTTGAAAGAATTTAATTATTTCTGCTGGTTAAAGAAAATTATTGTTAGTTCTATAAATCGTGTTGATTTAAATATTTCTATTTTTATTTTATTTATTATTATTGACCATTAGTGAGTGTCAAAGTCGACCTCTCGTCACTACCTCTTCGAGATTAGGCTTGATACTTACTGTGTACATGTTGTTTACGAACTCATGCTACACTTGCTGCACTTTTTGTGCAGGACCTGAGACAGGTGCTATAGTTGGACCTATGAGCGCGCACCCACGTTGTCCAGAGGCTTAGTGGTGAGCTACCTTTCTGAGCCGTTCTGCAGCAACTAGTGCCTCTTCTTGAAATTTTATTCTGTCTATTTCATTTCAGACAATATTTAGAATTTTTGTATAATATACTAGATGCTCATGCACTTGTGACACTAGGTCTTGGCACACACTAGTAGAATTTTTGGATTTAATTCTATTCCTGTATTTTTTTTTTATTTACCAGATCTTTTTATATTGTCTTAATTCTTGCAAGTTATAAGAGTTTAATTAATCGGTTAAATTTTTAAAGAGTTGAATATGTGTTTAAATCACTAGTTGGCTTGCCTAGCTGTAGTGTTGAGCGCCATCACGACCTACAGGTGAAATTGGGTCGTGACATTGTATAGTTGCCTAAGAATTCAGGGTCTACTTTTAAGCAGGTTTTGCCAAATTGGAGTACTCAGGACTTGTTTAGATGAGCTCTAATATTTGAACATTTTGTATTGGCCGAGAGAGTCCGCAATTGTATGCTAATATGTGTTTGGAACTGCTTCACCAAAAAGCACTCTGGTTTGACCAAGAGTTGTGATTAATGTCAACATTTTGATTCGCTTTCATTCTGCTAAAGTTTAAGAAGGTTCTATTAGGAATAAGTTCTAAAACGTTGTGCAGGTGAATTGATAAAGAATTAATATGAAAGACGGTTGAATGAGAGTATCAATTTGAGTAGTGCAGTATTTTTCAGCACCAGAAAAGTTCTATGATGTGATGACCTCACTGTTTATTAGATAACTGACGAGGGACCTATATGTAAAGTTCCCAGTTAGAATGATTTCAAATTAGGATTCCAGACTATTAATAACCTCATCATAGAAAAATGTGTTTCTTCTCATTTTGGCTTAAAATGTTCCAGGGTTTGCCTTTAAGTAATAACTATCTGCTGTATATTTCCTTCCTTTTAGTAGTTGAAGCAAGATCAACAGAGAAGAAATGTCTTTTTCTTGGATTTGTTTCAACTTTCAAGTTAAGCATATCTCATTATCCCCATTTGTCTGATATTTATAAGCCTTAATTAGTTGACTAACTAAATTAGATGTCAAAGCATGTGTGGTCTCTAACAGAACCCTTTGCTCATAAATGAATTTATGCCTGTTTCTGAATGGTTTTTATCTTTAACTTATTGCATTATCTTGTTGCTTGCAGCCTAAATGCAGCCTTGAAGTCAAATAATTGTTTGTCCCATGGTTGGTTGAATCTGCTTAAGTTTCAAACATGTTCTTCTTTTGTTCTCCACTGTGGCAATTTCCTTCCCATTGCTATTCAGAGGTAGAAATCTTTCTCATATCTTTTCTTTTTAGTATGCTGCAACTGATAACTCTACATTGCAAACCTTACAACTAACATGTCATTCTAAGTACTTGTATTTTCTATAATTCAAACCTTATAACTAACATGTTATTCTATTCTTTTACTCTGAATGTGCAGTTTGGTGTATGTCTGCAGATGTTGCATAGAATTGAATTCACTGGGGCAATAAGGCAGAATGATTACAGAGATGGATATACAAGAAACTACTAAAATAGTAAAATAGTCTGGACGATATTTAGAAAACGGCTGACATAAACTTACTCTTTTGCTCACTATTAATAAATTTCAGGGTGGCTATAGCATAATATTTGAACTGAGTAAGCCTTTTTCAAGGTATTTGATTGAAGATGAGCAATGAACTTTTCCCTGTGGCCATTATTGATGGTGCTGTAATCATCTTTGTTGTATTAGGAACTTACAACTAGGTCCTTTTTTAAACTTTTCTTATGTTCTAAAATGTTAGACAAATAGTTCATCCAAGGTGTTTGAATCCTCTGGAAGATAAATTTTCACATCATTACTGGTCTCTTATTTTCATAATTTTCATACATTGCAGTGATTTCACATTTAACCTTTGAAAATTAGAGAAGGTAAATTTATCCTTTTTGGTCCGGAGAGAGTACGAGAAAGTTGGGAGCAAGTAATTTTTCCATACCAAAAGAAGAGTGAAAATTTTATAGGGTCCAATTAAAAATTAGGCTTGCGGCTACGAGGAGGAAGGTTCTCATCTTTTGAGTCTCTGTTAACCCACAAAAGGGTGTCCCTTATCCCCTTGAGAGGCACACTTAGGTCTATTATAGGGTTTTTTCATTTTCAGAGATTGAACTTGAGACCTCTATTAGGTTTATAAAAGACAGATAAATTCTATATATTCCATCACAACCACCGGTGATGGGCAAAATTAAAAAAAGAGTGAAATTAGGTGGATACACATACTGAAAATGCTGTGTTTCTTTTTCATTTCCGTACTATTTTTTTAACAAACCAAACAAGGGTGAATTCCTTCCCATTACCCAGTAAAAGGAAAATCCAGAGCACACTCTTCCAAAACTCAATGTATTTGTTTCACCAGTAGTGTACTGGAGGAGATCCTTTCCCATATAATTACATGTATATAAACATGAACTATACCGTAAAGGTTAATTTGTGATCGTACTTGAATTACATAGGAAAATAAATCCTGCAAAGAAAAGCGTAGGAAAACTACTTCCAACTTTCCTGTGAAATGATTTCAAAGAGTTTTCTAGAGAGAGCAAGAGTAATTTTTTTCTTGTACATTTATGAAAGAACGGTAAGGGTAAAAATCAAGGTTTCTAGTGTTAGGACTTTTTATTTTTTCTGAAGTGACACAATTATTCGGTGAATTTTAACTTCTAAGGGTGGTGTTTTTTTCTCTCTTTTTCTTATTTTAATTATTTTAGTTTCCTTCTCTCTCTATGTATATAAAATATACTAGTCTTTCGGCAAGTTACAGTTTTTTCTTTCGCCGCATGCAACGCCAAAAATTGAGTTTTCTTGATTCATAATTACCATGGCAGCCACTTCACTCATGAGTTGTAACTTGTAAGTCTCAAAAGTCCATACGTACGGATTGAGGGTTGACATAATAAAGGACAACCATATGGCCCTTTAGAGTTTAGACATTGTACCCCTCACGCTCACGCAGCAAAGAATAATAGGAGAGGTACTTTCTATAAAATAATTGAAAGTAAAAGAGATCTAATATTGTAAAGAGAAAGAATCCCATGGGAAATGCCAGGAGTAGTACAAAGTGCTGGTTGTCTTTGAATTGTATATAAAGAGAGAATACCATGTATTGACATCCAAATTATCAAACTACTTTGTGCTGAGTTATCATGCCGAGTACTCCATACATCCAACATTTTATGTATATGCCTTTTAATAGTTTTCTTCTCTATTTTAAGGAATATACTTTGCTATATATACTGACAACAATTTGTCTATCAAATCCACAGAATTGGATGGAATCACGAAATAACATACATGATGCACATGTATTAAGAAATATATATTTCAAATAATACATTTGTCTGCAACATATTTTGTACGTAAAGAGACCAGAAAGGAAGAAAACCATATAAAAGAGACTTTGCACATTATTATTAGAGTATACCATCTTCGAAGTCAATTTTGATTTATTGATTTATTTGTCGGTCGCCTGATCCAATGTAAACAGAGTCACCAAACCAATGGCAGCCTGATCAAATTATAAAGAACATTTTTCTCTGTCTTTGCAATGGGTCAACAATAGAAGTATGATCATATATAGCATCAGAAATCAAACTTTTGCACGTCGGCCAAATATTACAAAGACATGATTACAGATAAATCAACATGCATCAAAAGAATTAGAAGTAAAAGATGGCTTCCAATCAAAATTTAAGATTAAAGGATTAAATTAAACTCGAGTTACATGAACTACGCAATACAACAATCCAATTTCTACGGAAAGCGATAAATTTTTGGGATATGAACCCTCATCTGCTCCTTTCTTACATCTCGTTTTTGCACATGCTAGCTACATGTATGTGAGTGATTGCAATTGGTTAAAGGCTCAAAGAGTCCCCTGCAGACATTATCTTCTTCCCCTTCACCCACTTGATCAGAAAATCCAATCCTTCAAATATGTCCAAAATAAGTCCAAAGGCAAAAGGGAAAAAGGAATTCTAAGCGCAAATAAAATACCATGAGATATAGGCAAGTATTATGCACTTGGGCAATTCACATGCAGCGCGCTTCCGTTTGTACTTGAGATGAAGTTTATCTGGGCGACCATTTCCTTGGCTATTCTTTCACAAAAGAACTGGCACATGATTTGTATAAGGGAATGGATCATTACAGATCCAACTATAAGAAAAATCATTTTATGAAAAATTGATGAGGCATTAAAGATTGTAACGGAAATGCTTCTTTAACTGTTCGTTTCTGTAATGGTCATGACTTTTCGAATATTCCTAGTCTAAACCCAACTTTTACAGAGGTGGCTTTGGGATTTTTTTTCAAAATATCGTTCAAATCAAAATAGGGGGAAAAAGAAAAAAACTGAGGACAAAGATAAATAGGATATTTAGGTTGAAATATATATTTACATTTTTGTACAAAAATATTATTAAAGTAGTGTTTAAGTAGAGGGCATTTAGGTAATTTAACTTTATACTAAGGAGCTTTCCACTTTTAATATAAACTATCTTTGAAAAAAAATAGATAGTTTACAATAAGTATACGGTGAATTATACGAAATTTGAAAGAAAAAAAGTACAAGCTCAAATTTTTGAATGGTAAGCTTATCTACTGTCGATATTTATTATTTCTCAAAGAGCATCTTACCTGAAATACAATTTCGCTGAAGTTGGATGGATATCCTTCATTTTCAAGAGAAAAAAATATTTCTTTAACAATATAATATTCTATTACTTCCATCACTATTATAATTTTGTAGTTGTACACAATCAACGAATTGACATAACCTTTTCCTATGCAATGCTTCTAATATATCAAATATACATTCGGTTTAATAATTTTCTAGTTCGTGATATTTCTACAATAGATAGTTTAAGCAACATCAACTATGGTTATAAATGCTTCACATCTTAAAGTTTGTCCCATGTCTTTAATAAATTATAACCTCTGCCTTTCTACAGTTGTATATATATATATCACAAAATTATTGTCGACTGAAAATAGTATTTTGTAGAAGATGTATAGAAATTCAATCAATAAATGACTTCATTAAGATGGCTAATAGATCAATGCCAATTTTATGGTGTACACCTTTGTATACGGTTAAAATCGGGCCCATCCGATTTTACTGTTTGACCGAGACCGGAAGTTTGCATCGAAGGACGACTCCAAAGTAGATCGGATCGAGGCACGAAGACAAGGTACCGAGATCGGGATTCGAGGCACCTGCCAAGATCGAGGCCGATAGCAATCCAGACCGAACGAGAAAGGTATCGAGCAATACCGAAGATTGCGTAATAACTGAAAAGCGAGATATCCACGACCGGTCGAAGATCATGGCGAAAATCTCAGAACGGATCGAATCAAGAATGATTGTTTAGTTAATCATGGGATTTTCTTCTGTAATTAAAATTGTAACATATATAAAATACCTCTACTATATAAAGGGGAGTTCTAACCATTTGTAGGGACGACTGATAACATAGCAATATAATTTTCTTCCTCGCTCACACTCTTGTTCTTCAGCTTATTGTGTTTTTATCATCCTTGCATCAGTGAGTTCGAGGATACTTTAACTCAAGGGTTGAGTGCTACTCAAATACTGGTTTGATTTACTTTCTTGTATAATTCTATCTTTAATCTTCATATTTATCAATCGGTATTAAGTGAAATCACGTGTCCTTAAATCTACATTATAAGTTTAATTGTTATCCAATTTTGAGGGTAAACAGTTTGGCGCCCACCGTGGGGCTAAGGATAATAGTGATTTCTTAACACTGATTCCGATAACACACACTACTTTACGCTTGTTCTTGTAAGTGTTTTTGTTTTCAGGAAAAAGTATGTCAAACTAACAAACAACACCCACACACGGTAACAACGGTTTTGGATTTCACGGGAAAAATGACAATATAGTTGCCCCAGAAATCGAGGTGCCTCAGGCTGATCTTGAGGGAGTACCCATTGTAAACCCCATCGACGTTAGTTCACATATCGCCCTAAATACAAATTTGGGCGCTGATCCCGAAGGTAGCGTATGCAGGGAAGGTCGATCTGGTGGTCGAAGTACGCAGAGCGGAGGAGATGGTGGAGTTAGCCTCCAATTGATATTTGAAATGTTACAGGCTCAACAAGCCACTATAGCATAATTACAAAATCAACATCGAGCGCCGAGTGGGGTAGAACCTGAAGTCGTTCACAAGACCGAGCCAGTGCCGAAAAGGTCAAGTGCCAATGAATCGGGGACTGACCCTGTCATTATGAAAATGTTTGAGGAGCTCACTAAATGAATTGAAATGGGAGAAAAGAAAATTGAGGCAAATGACAAGAAAGTAGAGACATATAACTCCCGGGTTGATCAAATACCTGGAGCACCACCAATTTTGAAAGGTATGGACTCGAAGAAGTTCGTGCAGAAGCCGTTCCCCCCGAGTGCGGCTCCGAAGCCCATTCCGAAGAAATTTCACATGCCGAAAATCCCCAAGTACAATGGGACCATCGATCTAACTGAGCATGTCACCTCCTATACATGTGCGATAAAAGGAAATGATTTAGAAGATGATGAGATCGAATCGGTTCTACTAAGAAGTTTGGAGAAACTCTATCGAAAAGGGCAATGATATGGTATCACAATCTGCTACCTAATTCCATCGATTCCTTCGCCATGCTTGTAGACTCTTTCGTAAAGGCACACGCCCGAGCAATAAAGGTTGCGACTAGGAAGTCGGACCTCTTCAAGGTAAAACAGAAAGATAACAAAATGTTAAGGGAGTTCGTATCTCGGTTTCAGATGAAGCGTATGGAACTACCACCAGT